CAAAGGCATATGTCAACAACTTCGTGTATAAAGTCATACTTATGTGTGATCGTGGGGGTGAATATAAAGCTACTAACACGGTTAGAGCATCTGGAACCAGAAAGACTAATTGTAAGTTTGAACTGGAAGGAAAGTATTCAAAAGAACTATAATAAATAGAGGCTGAGGGTAATATGTGATGATCATAATCATCCGCCTGCACAACATATGGAGGGTCATCCATATGTAAGACGGTTATCTGTTGACGAGACTCGTTTGGTGGAAGATCTAACAAGAAAGAACTTGGCGCCACGTGATATTCTGTCAACCTTAAAGGCGCAAAACGAAAATAATGTATTGGTAGCTCAAACAATATATAACGCACAACAAAAGATTCGCAGACGCGAGCAAGCAGGAAAAACTCCAATACAGGTTCTTATGTCCATTTTGCACACCAATAATTATTTGTATGAGCTTACTACAGGCGATTCAAATTAGTTGGAGAATCTATTTTTCGTCCATCCAACGTCTTGGAAGATATGGCGTGCATTTCCACATGTGTTGATGATAGATGCCACCTACAAAACGAACAAATATAATAAGCCGCTTGTAGAAATTGTTGGTATGACCTCAACTCGGAAGACATTCTCTGTAGGTTTTGCCTTTATACATAGAGAAAAAGAGGCCAACTATACTTGGGTGTTAAACTGTATAAAGTCAATACTCGATAAGTGTATGCACCCACGTGTAATAATCACAGACAGAGAGTTGGCACTCATCAATGCATGTCAAACAGTGTTTCCGGATGTAGCACGATTACTTTGTAGATGGCATATTGAGCAAAACATTTTAAAAATTTCTAGCAAGATTATAACATTGGATGACGACCGTGACTCTTTTAGAGTACTGTGGAAATTACTAGTTGAGTCTCCAACATTGATGACATACACGGAAAACTACAAACGACTACAATCAATGTTGATAAATTATCCACGTAAGTTTGTTTATTAACTATATTTCTAAATCACAACCTTCATATTATTGTTTATGTACTTATTTTGTTTGTTTATTTTACGTCATAGGTGTTATGAGATACATAGATGATACATGGTTAAATAAGTACAAGGAAATGTTTGTGTCTGTTTGGGTTAATCAACATCTCAATTTTGGAAACAACACGACCAATAGAGCGGAGAGTCAACATTCCAAGTTAAAGAAAAATTTAAACTCTTCAAACTCTAATCTTGATAAATTCGTGCAACGGATTAATCAAGTCGTGCAATCACAACTTACTTCGATCTATGAAAGCTTTGAAAATAGCTTGACTGTTCGCTACAATCACCATAACTTATCGTGTTTCCAATTGTTGCGGGGCCATGTTTCAAACGAAGCTTTAGATATAATATTAGGAGAGGTTCAAAGGCTGGGTGATGAAATGTTAGACTCCTCAAATTGTGGTTGCAAACTACGTAACAGTTGTGGGTTACCATGTGCTTGCATGCTTTCTTTGTATTCGATTTCAGGTTAGTATGTTTAATTACCAACATACAAATAGATTTTTAAATATTAGATAAATAATTATTTTATATTTCAATACAGGTGAAAGAATACCCTTGGATTCAATAGATATCTTTTGGAGGAAGCTTGATATTTCAGATACGACATCTGTAGTTGACGATGATATTAATTGCGATGATGTAGTGGATAAATATAAAGAAAACTTCAACAAACAATCAAAAGCTGGGAAAATGTTTTATAGGAGAAAGCTAGAAGAGATATATGATCCGCATAAAACTGATGTTGGAGAACCTACGGTTCAAAAAAACACACGTGGACGACCAAGTGTGAAGAAACAACAGAAAAAGAAAGTCAATCCTCCAAATCAATCTCCTCGTAGATGCAGCTTCTCAACCACGTCGGAGTTTAATGGGATGGATTTAAATAAAGAACCTGAAAGACATAGCTTTTTGTGTGGGATTGACTTAAATGATGAACCCCAACGTCATAGCTTTTCGTGTGGATTGACTTAAATGATGAACCCCGAAGGCATTATCTATTCCAAATGAATGGTATTCCATATATATTTCATGATTACATCGACGATATACATGATGTAGAAGGTGATGGAAATTGTGGGTTTCGAGCGGTAGCTGTTTGTTTGGGGTATAATGAAGACCAGTGGCTTTATATTCGAAAACAATTGCTTGAAGAGTTAGAGAGTCAATATTACGCATACCATAGAGTTTTTACTGACGGGTTTAATGAGGTCTACCAGTCATTGCGTTGGTTTGAGTCACCTGCACCTCTCCGACGACATTGGTTGCATATGCCTTTGACTAGTTACTTGATTGCCAACAAGTTTGGCGTGATCGTGCATTGTTTAAGCCACGTACAATCTACGACATGTTTCCCTCTTTGGAGAGGCCCCGAAGAGTTTCAACCCCATCGAGCCATTACGTTGGTACTTGTAAACGATATTCATTATATGTCGGTGTTTTTGAAAGGAAATTACCCAATGCCTCCTACCACAGAATATTGGAATGCCAATAAAAGTCTGTCTGCATCTACATGGCAAACTATGTATTGGCCGCGTTTTGATTTATACAATCAACTTAGGTCTCGTACTTCTGAAAGACATTGGATACATATTAAAGACTAAGTGCGAATGTATTTGAATCTTTTTATTATTTTTTGCATCAAATATTATTTTATATTTGATTTTTTTTTATTATTTGTTGCGTTAAAATATTATTTTATTATTGTTGTGTCGTGTTTGAACTTTTTTTTTTAAAAAAAATTCAATAAAAATATTTACACATCATAACCTAATTATTAAGATTAAAAGGATATATATTGTAAGCTTAATAAAAATGGGAGTGCTAGAATTGAAATAAAAATAATATTTTCTTTATTCCCCCTTCACGTTTTTTATTAACTATTTTTACAAACTTTCGTACAAATTATTTCATAACTTTTTAAAAGAAAATCACAATCTTTTATTACTTTTTTACAAAACTTTTTTAAATATTTTTAAACTTATTTTACATCATTTTTAAACGTCTTTACAAAGTTTTTTTTAATTTTTTTACTAACCTTTTAAGAATAACTTGCAACATTTTTTAAACCTTTTTACAAACAACAAAAGTATATTGAAAAATAAAAGTAAAAAGTTTAAATGGTTTGGAACTTCATTAGTAAAATGTTTTGAAAAAGATATGTTGTAAAAAGAGCTTAAGAAGGCTTGTAAAAAAGTTTATATATTGAAAAAAAATTGTAAAAAAATTTAAAAAACTGTGATTTAAAATGTTATTAAAAAATTTAAAAAGATTGTAAATTAAAATAATATCTTCAAACAATATATTAAAAGAATATAAAAAACATAATAATTAAGTAATCATTAGTAAAAAAGTAAAATCTAATTATGGGGTAAGATTAAATGGAAATAGATAAGGATAATTGCTGCCTAATAATAAATACATAATAAATACGTATGCCTAAAAATTCCGATATCGATCGGATAGACATGGGAGTGGGAAACTAATATTTTAATGAAAAATTGCGTTCTACTTTGATAAACATGTTCTAACCGTTATCTCTCCCTCGGTTTTCCTGGTGTGCCCTAAAACCCAATTCTACTCTGTTTCATCGATTTTTTGCTGAGGTAATGACAACCATTTTTCTTTTTTATAAATTGCATTTTGATTATGCTACTGAGTACTGATATCGTGCTGTCCAATGGTGATTTTGAGGAAACTCTGGTGATCGCGTTGGATAATTTGCTGGTGAATTCGCTTGATCAGTCCTCTATTCATTCCGTAAGATTGCAACTATTTACAAGTTTTAATGTGTTTTATGGTTTTAATTAAAGAAATTCATGTTAAATTTACTATTGCTGGTTCGATCATTACAGATTGTCGCTTGATGTTTCTGAAGCTTATCCATAAAACCCCTATTTCGTTATCCTTTATAGACATCAACTGAAACTATTTGCATAGATAGACGATATAGATAGAAGTAAGTATTTCTGCTAATTTTTTTTGAGGTTGTCATGTCTGCGTGTTTATATTATATGTGACTACAAGGTAAAAGAGTATCTTATAGAAGAAAACAATCAGGATAAGAGATGCCATGTATCTGAATTTTCAAAGAGGCTATATTATCCTATTGATGATGATGGATGGATGGATAGTAGAAGGTGATTGGCCGGATAAATTGTGTTGGAAGATAGACTCTTCAAGCAATGCCACAAATATGTAAAATGATACTGAAGGGGGGGGGGGGGATATGTGTGGGGAGGGTAATGGGGTTAGTTTTGTCAAAATTGATGATGCAGAAATTTTCCCATCCGCCTTTATCTTTCATGCCCATATCCACAACATCCATTTGGGCATTATGTATGCTTATGCCACCAGTTGATTGCAAATAAGTGATAAAACACAAAGGTGATAAAAATTGACTATAAGAATTATAAAATTGTACCGGAACACTTGCCAATTTTTTTTGAAATTGAGAATGGGCTATAACATATGTCAGAGTAATTTATAGATTATACTGATAGTTAATTTCAGGCATGAATAGCAAAATTGGAAAACAAGTTCAAATTATCTGCTTGTAGTTTAGAAAAAGACACCTAGAGCATGTATGTCCATTTACACAATGGGTTAAGGCATGAGATGTAGGATGCACATTAGCTAAAACCCACAAATCTGTGTCTTTGGATCAATGATTATAGTAGACAATTTCAGTTCCGATGTGAATTGGACTCATATATCAATAGACGAAGTGCATGGATGGAAGTTCTTTTCTTACAGAAATAGTAGAACGTTAGGTTCCATTGATTTAGTTTATGTGATTTCTACTTTTCATTTGGTGGGTCCCAATCCCAATTCAGTGATTTGAGATTATGGAGATGGAAGCTTAATATTTTTCTTGACAGGTTAAGTTGTCCAGGTGTTGGTTATCGTAAAAGAGCCATTATAAGTACGGAGGGATCAGGTGGATGGAATCTTGTGAAAAAATAGATGGTATAAAAAGTTGTCTACCAGCAGAGGCCATGAAGATACTACAGTCATTGGCTTCGTGTTGGGATGATATAGTTGATGTAGATGCCTTACAGGTAATAAGACTCAAGGGTGCTATGACCAATGAAGTCTACCAAATCAAATGGCCAACCAACAAAGAACGCTCTCGAAAGGTTTTAGTTAGGATATATGGTGAGGGTGTGGATGTGTTTTTTGATCGTGAAATGGAGATCCGAACATTTGAGTTTATGTCCAAGCAAGGGCAAGGGCCTCGTCTCCTTGGGAGATTCTCTAATGGCCGAATTGAAGAATTCATTCGTGCACGGGTACGTCTCTTCTCTTCTCTTCCTTTCATTTAGGCCACATTTGGTATGACAGGAGAGGACAGATGGTGTGGATTGGACTGAGACTGATGTCAATGGGACAATAATTGCAATTTTTTGTCTCAAGGTACGACATGGACTCGCTCTTGATTTCTAATCTTTGAAAAAGATGTCCTCATCTTCATCATCGAAAATAGCTCTCCAAATCTTGTCCAGTCCATTTCTGTGTAACAAATGCATCCTTAATGTTTCCCTCTTGGTTCTTAAATCTGGAATAATATTTTTCTTCAGTATGATCGAAGCTTTCATTTAGAAATGAAAGGCAAAAAAATTAAAAGTTGCAATTTTATGCACATATGATGCCTGAAAGTTAGGTGGTGTTTTTTTGTGACTTAATGGACTTAACAGTGATAAACATAATCCAATAAGCTATATATGAGTTTTTTATTTTTTATTTTTTTTAAATCAACACAGAATGAATGACCTAATAGTGACAGTGACATTCAGAGAAAGGAGGCTTTCCCCACTAATGTCCTACCTTTTTTACACAAATTTCTCCTCATTTATCTTTTTGCCTTTCATTTCCCCAAAGTGCAGTAATTTTTTTAAAAGAAAATTAAACAATATTTATCCGGCAGCACTTGATCTACACAGTAATGGAAAAAAAAAGAAACAGGAACTTAGATTGGTAGTCCTTATAATTTTCACATACTAATTATTATTTGTTTGTTTTTTTTTTTTTTTTTTTTTTTTTTTTTTGAAATCAGACACTCTCGGCCTGTGATTTGCGGGATCCTGATATATCTAGGCTTATAGCATCTAAGCTAAAGGAGTTCCATGATCTGGATATGCCTGGTCCAAAGACGCCCATGGTCTGGGATAGATTGCAGTATGCCTCTTTTAAACCTTACACCAGTACATTTCTTCCCTACAAGATTTGTAGGGCTATTTCAATGATCAGATGATGAGGGCATTCACGTCTTTTGCACAGCTGAAAGATTGTTCCACTTTTTTGGGTGGGACAAAAAGTTGCAAATTTTGTCCATTGGCACAACATAATACAACCTATTTTACTCTGTCTTGTCTTGTCCTGTTCTGCCTAACAAGTCGAGGCCTTGGTCTGTGATAGGTTGAGGTTGCATGGCTAGTTAATTTACTTTTTATCGGATTAAGCTTGTGGTGTAATTTGTTAATGAATAGTTGTGTTTTTTTTTTCCTCAGTAATTGGCTTAGTGCAGCCAAAAGTATGTGCACTGTAGAGGAAGCACAGGCCCTCCGTTTGGATGCCATGGGAAAAGAGATTGAAACTTTACACAAATGTCTGGCAGCAGATCAACGTGTAGCATTTTGCCACAATGATTTGCAATATGGGAACATAATGATCGATGAAGATACCAGATCCATAACCATTATCGTAAGAACTTCATCAACAATTTTCATTACCTTCTATTATCTTATTAAGCAAACTCTATTTTAGTTTTCCCTTCTAATTAATATCTCTGCAATCATAAGCCATGCATGAAGTGGAGCTACTTGTTTGGTATGATGGAATCGGGAAAGGGAACAGAATTGTTCATTCCATTGAAATGAAAAAACTCTGTGGTAGTGTTTGGTTTGATGGAATCACGGAAGGAATAAAATGGTCCATTCCACTGAAATGGAAGAAACCTGTTTGTTTTACCGGAGAGAATGAGGATTGACCATTCATGAAGGAATGTGATTCCTTCTGTTTTCTTAATTTTCAAGCCTCAGTCATTTTTTTTTTTATTTCATTCAGTTTTGGAATGGAATGAAAAGTGTCAATTGATTTATATTTATGCAATTTTTTAATAAAACAGTTAGTTTGTTTTAAAATTTTCATAATCTAATTAAAATTATGATTTATGCTTTAAAGTAGCTAAAATTATATTATATTTATCATATAACCTTTTGGGTTATAATGAGCTTTAATTATGTTTAGTTTCTGTTTGTGTTAAATAAAAATTCGTTAATTATTAATATAATAAATTTGTTGATTTTCATTCCTTAGCCAGAAGTGTTTTTATTCCATCAATAAATAGAATGAAAAATTACAATACTACCCAATTTTTATTTAAAATATTTCTAATGAAATACAATTCAGTTAAATAACAATTTTCTTTTCTAAAAAAATAAACAGAAAAAAAGATATTTTATTATAAACTTATCTGGGTTTTAATGCGCTTTTATTATGTTTAATTTTAAATAATAATCCATAAGTTATAGTTATATAATGAATAGAGTAGAGTCCAAACTATACATTCTATTTAGAATAAATTACAAGAGTGGTTCCTGTGGTATTCCAAAAATTGCAGTTCAGTCAATGTTTTGATTTTGTTGAATTCTTTCCCTTAAGTTTGGTTTTTTGTTTTCAGGAATGGCCCCCGACCCATGTAATGTGACTTTTTTTTTACCCTTATATGATTTCGTTTATCTGTTATTTTTTTCTTTTTTCTATAATTATATTAATATTTTATTATTAACCCACCCTACCTTACCCCCACATCCCCCCCTTCAGGTCTTCTTTATAACCCAGGGACTGAGTTTCCATACGTCTCACCACCCACCTGTTGGTTTCCATTGCTTTTGCTGAAAAAAATAAATAAAAAATAACATACTGCCCCCCTGTGACATTCTCAACTCTTTCTGGAGACATGCCAATAGGACAATGTAAAATATAAAATATTCAATTAGCAATGTAATTCAATAACATTAACCTAAGAAAAGACCACAAAATGAAAATAAGTTAAAATAATAAACTTCGTTCTTAAATTATCCGCATATCTCACCGGTCTATAGTCAAATTATACTTACGTATATAGCCCAAAAACAATAAAAAAGATACAAGATGTACAAAGTCGATTATTTTTGGTATACAACAGGGACCAATCTTGTAATCTGCTCTTGTATTTATGTATTATAAATATTAAACTAAACATGATCATGGAGGCCACTGAATCACTCCATTACCTTGTTTATTCCTTTATTCCATCCGACCTTTGAAACAGACCTATACACTAGATATGTGAGTTGTCTATTTTCAGATTATGTATTTTAACTGTTGTCCATGATATTATTTTCTACTAAAATATGCTTGTACATGTGCAAAATAATTATCCTGCCTGCGTTAAGTTAATTAAGCACATGTTTATCTCATGAGCATTCAGCTGTCACTGCCTGTCCCTAATAGTAGTTAAGTTTTTTACAGGACTACGAGTATGCTTGTTACAACCCTTTCATGTTTGATATTGCAAATCATTTTTGCGAGATGGCTGCTGATTATCATACAGAAACACCCCATGTTTTGGAATATACTAAATACCCTGGTATTTCAACCTCAACATCATTACTTGCTTTTCAAATGCTGAATTTACCTCCTTATCAATTCTTTCTCGCATATGAAACAGGGCTTGATGAGCGTAGGAGATTTCTGCATGTATATCTCACTTCTTCTTCAGGTATCAAACAACATCATTGAGCATTAACAGATAGATAGAATATCAAGATAGATATTCTTTTTAAAAATAAGCGTGTACAAATAGCAATATTTTTCTTTATTATAGCATCCTACTTTCATGTCTTCCTATTACGACATTGCTTTGCAGAAAATCTATCCAGTTATAGCAGTGAAAGAAATTTTCATTGCTATAATAGATTTTCAAAGTATTATGTCCTAATAAGAAAAAACAAACTATCCACACACCTCACCTCACCTCACCTCCACCTCCACACATATCCCTTCATTCACTTTGTCATTAGTCTCTTTATTCCTGAATTCTTTGATTATACTATCCAGTGAGAGAACCCCCCCCCCCCCCCCCCCCAATCTTCCAGATTTGAAAGTACGATATTAGAGGCACAAAATGTTTCTGCAGAGAGGAACAGGAATTGAATTGACATTGCAATGGAATGAGTCATCACATTCCATGTTTAGTTGGTGTATACAAATGAAATGAGTTTTCATCTGAATTTTTTATGTGATATGACAACATATGGTTTTCTCAACTGCATTATGTACATTATTTTAGTTATGATTAACAAACTTTTATTTACATAAATAAAATTAAACATAATAAATCCCAAATAACTTATAATAATAATAATATTTTTTCGTTATATAAGAAAATGAAATCGTAATTTTAATTAATATTGTAATTTTTTTTTGAGTAAGTGTCGTATTAAAATTGGATTATATTGCAATTTCTCATCCTGCTCCATGATGTAATGAAAAAACACCCCTCAGACTAAGAAATGGAGTTTAACAAAATTGAAGGAATCATACTCCTTTTGGAATGGTCCAGTTCATTCCATCGAGCAAAGCAAACTGGTTTCTCATTCACAAACCTGTTCTGTCATGTTGTGTGGCCATTTTTATTTTTTTTATGGGATTAAGGAGAAGAAGATTAAGGCTACAAGTTGTTGTTTCTTTTTGACTTAGTGGTTTTAATGGCGGCATAGAATAGAGAAAGTTATGGAAAAGAAAGGTTTCAACCTTTACAAAAAATTTCTCATTTAATCTTTCTTTTCAGTATGCCATCATTTTCTCAAAAAAGAAACAAGGCATAAGTGTGTACTTGTGCAACCAGGTTCCATGAACCCCTTCCCTGCCTCTCTCTCTTGCTCTACATGATTGATTGATATAAACATAAGATTCTTATGTTTAAAGTAGGTTAAGGTTTGTCTTTGCTGAAGTCGATTCCATTTCTAGTTCTATCACCAAAAGTGTTTGGTGGTCATGGAGTTGGAATTCACAAAAATGCAAAATCCTTTTGACAGATGGATTTCAATCAAAATTTATGGAGTTCAATTCCCGTCCGTTATTTCCTCCTTGCTAAAAATACTCAAATATCTTTAAACACCTCCAGCTTTTTTTTAATTCTATCATGAATTCCATTTCATTTCCTGCCAACCAAACATGTGACAAAATTCAAGTCATCATTGCCAATTCCTTCCAAAACATCTGGTGAACCAAACATCCCCTCCCTTAAATCATCAATACTTCAAATCATAAATTTTCTAGGTTTAATGAGACGTCTTTTCACATACAAGAGATGGATAGTGAGTTCCTATCCTTTTTTTGGATGGGAGTAAACTCTGGGCCGATTGACATCAACTCCAATCGCAGTTTAGTGAAACACAGTACAAATTGTAGTGCCCGGGCTTCTTAATTCAAAATGAGGGGAACATGCATGCATGTATAACATTATCTTTTTAAGCTAATTACATGTATAGACATGATTTTATTGAATACAACTTTTCAATTTGTGGTCCAGGAAATCAACCCAATTACTTAGAAATTGACAAGTTGCTTGAAGAAGTTGAAAAGTATACTCTTGCAAGTCATCTACTTTGGGGCTTATGGGGAGTCATATCGGTACTTTTCTACTGCTTTTTTTACTTTGTTTCTAAGCATGTTTTAATTGCCCAACACTATTTATAATTTGACATTTTCTTTAGAATTATGTTCCAATTTGAAGCAATTTAAGCACAAAAAATAACTGATAGATATACGCTAAACGGTTATGTGCATCGCAACCCATAGCCATAGGTAGCATTTGGTTCACAACCGGAATGGAATGAGAAAGTTAAATTATAGCTTCCTTCTTCCATTGATTTGCTATAATAAAACAACATTCTACTTTAAAAAACCTACCCAGTTATAGCAAATGTAAAGCAATTTTCACTGCTATAATAAGACAAATAATGAAAGCACAATCCTGTAATCGAGTACAATACATTTTTCAAAGTAAGATCTCCTAACAACTGAAAGTACAATGTTTTACATGAAAGTAAGATCCCCTAATAATACACAAATGTATGATGTGTCATTTTTTGCATTTAGAAGTTTGTTTACTACATACAAACAAGTAGGAGTGGAACGAAGCATTTCTGAAGGAATGTAATTCGTTCTCCTGGACTTTGTTTCTAAGCATATGCGGTCCTTGACTGCCCAAAACTAATTTTAATGTATTATTTAAATACCAAAAACAACTGGTAAGCAATGCTGAGGAAAGCTATTTACTGTATGCAGTAATTACAAGCAGAATAGAACGAAAAAAAGTAAAATGCAAAATTTTTCCTTGGTGATATCATTCCATAATACCAAACAAGTGCAATTGTACTATTTATCATGCATCTGCACTTTTCAACTTATATTTTCCTTTTTTTTTTTTAGAATTGTCTTTTGCAAATACGCTTAGATAGAAAGAAAAAAAAAACTGCATTTAGATTAACCAAGAATCTCATAAAGTTTGAAACTTTGCATGTGGGGCCACAACATGACAAAACATAATAGGTTTTAGTGTGTTTGGCAATCATTGTATCGTGTGTTGCCAAAGGGACAAATATTCCAAATTTTTTTCCCATCCAAGAAAGTGATAGCAATTTATGCCTTCTCATGTGCGAGGGTGTATTTATTCATAGATGTTTTAATTTATTTATTTTTTTTAAATTTCAGGAACATGTTAATGAAATCGATTTCGACTACATGGAATATGCAAAACAAAGGTTTCAAGAGTACTGGTTACAGAAACCTAAAATATTGGGTTCCATAGGTTGATTATATTCAAACTTTAATTTTCTCTTTTAGTAATCTACATGGAATTGTTACTTTTTTTTTTTTTTTTTTTTTTTTTTTGAATCCCAAGAATTAAAAGATTCAAGCATCTTAACAAAATAGAGAGAGGAACATTTTGTTACAATGGGAGAGGAGAGGGAGGGGGGGGGGGGGGGGGGATACAACTTTTTTAGTTTTTTTGTGATGATGAAGATGAGCAGCAAATTCATGCATTTTCCACATAAGACAAGTTGAGAGTGAGTCTGTGTTTCACATCTTAGGTTGGATAAGAAGTACAATGTTTATCAAATCCATCACACTCTAGCAAACAGTCGTGTGTGTATGTATGTATGTATGTATGCATGCGTGGATGCGGTAGGAACCCAATAAACAGGAGGAACCATAAGAATGACTTTTGTCCAATCGATATCATTAAGGATAGTTTCATCAAAATTTTGGGTTGGGCCACAGTTGAACACTTAATCATCAAGTTGTGCTATCTTCCTTATCACATGTATAAGTTAAATGTGCCATATTAATGCTAAAATCAAATCACCGGTTATTATGGGCATGTTCGGCACAGTGTTTTTTGGAGCGTTTGAGAGTTTCTAGCTTCTAGCGTTTGACAATACGTTCCATTTAAAACAAAGCTTCGGTTGGCACTACAAACTTCTAACGTTTAGTTTAATCAAAACACTCCAAATCCAAATGTTACTTCATGTAACGTTTAATAAAACGCTACAAGCTACCTGTTACCAACTAGTTTTTGCCGAACACGCCCTATATCTTCATTCCATTCTACCTATATTATACAAATGTTTAGTTGATCATGTTAGCATGTTTAATTAAATCAATTTTATTATACAAATTTTCGGTTGATCATGTTAGCCTGTTTAATTAAATCATTTTACTTAGATTGGTTGCATAAATTAATTGAAGTTTATATATATATATATATATATATATATATATATATATATATATATATATATATATATATATATATATATATATATATATATATATATATATATATATAGGGTTAGGTTCATGTGAGACGGTTTAATTTTGTGAGACCGTGAGACGCATTTTTTTTATTTATTTTTTTATTTTTTCTATTTTTTTTTTAAATTTTTTTTAGTTAATTCAAGTTCCGAAAATAATATTAAATTTTTTTTTTTGATTTTTCCATTTATTTTGCATTTTATAATTATTTTTAGAATACGTACAATGTAATATTCTATTTAGAATATTTCACGTATTTTTCAAAAAAAATAGAATTTTTTTTATTTTTTTTAAATTTTTTTTAGTTAATTCAAGTTCCGAAAATAATATTTAAAAAAAGAATTTTTAGATTTTTTCATTTATTTTGCATTTTAAAATTATTTTTTAGAATATGTCAGTGTAATATTCTATTTAGAATATTTCACGTATTTTAAAAAACAAAAACGGGATTTTTTTTATTTATTTTTAATTTTTTTAGTTAATTCAAGTTCCGAAAATAATATTTAAAAAAAGAATTTTTGGATTTTTCCATTTATTTTGCAATTTAAAATTATTTTTAGATTTGGTCTCACGGTCTCACAAAATTAGAATGGTCTCAAATGAACCTGAACCTATATATATATATATATATATATATATATATATATATATATATATATATATATATATATATATATATATATATATAAATCCTATTATTTTCGAAACTTGAATTAACTAAAAAAAAAATAAAAAAAATAAAAAAAAATTCTATTTTTTTTGAAAAATATGTGAAATATTCTAAATAGAATATTACACTGTACGTATTCTAAAAATAATTTTAAAATGCAAAATAAATGGAAAAATCAAAAAATTATTTTTTTTAAATATTATTTTCGGAACTTGAATTAACTAAAAAAAATAAAAAAATACGTCTCACAGTCTCACAAAATTAGGCCGCCTCACATGAACCTAACACTATATATATATATATATATATATATATATATATATATATATATATATATATATATATATATATATATATATATATATATATATATATATATATATATATATGCAATTTCTAATTGAAAAACCTAATTCAGAAAAGCACATAATGACTTTTTGCAAAATCACTTTTTCAAATTACTCGTTCAATTCACAAAAAATAAATAAATCCTAAATCATTTTTATTGAGAGAGTAAAATGGATATAATTTAATGCAATTTGTAATTGAAATTTTTGATTTAGAAAAGGAAATCTATATGTAATTTGTTTGTGCTTACGTTAAAATCTTGATTTTTTCAATTCATGTCTCTTTAAATTAAATGATAAAAGGTTATCAACTTATGTTTAATGATACATTATAGGTGTTTGACGTAATGCCTAAGAGAGTTCATAATTTTTCTAGTTACGTTCATATTTTTTTCAATTCGATTTTGTGTTTAGTGGGTGTCTTAGGGGTGTTTTAATTCAATGGTGTGCATATTTACAAGATTTATAGTGTTGTTCGTGATCTTATGGATGTCTTGATGGTCTCAACTTGTTTAAAAGTTTACGTTCTTGTGTTCAAGAAGTTGTGTTTGTGCATACGTTTGTTTTTGTGACATTCTTCAAATGGACGGGTTGGTTATATTGAAATTGCATCTCATAGATTATGATTGAAGGTATATGTTCTCCCTTGAGGTTCTTCTACTTGGTTTTATAAATCGGAGTATTTTATGGTTCATCACATTTTAATCATAAATTGTTTCATATCAATTCCATACTTTTACATATTTTATAGTTGATGTTCAAATATTAAAATTATTGGAATTAGAGCATTATAGGGTTTTGGATTATAACAAAGTTTTGGATCATCATATATTTGAATTATAATATTTTGAATCATTCATTTGTTATACTATTCGTGATTAGATACAATTATTTATTTGTTTATGATATCATTTGTAGCATTTTGATCATAAAACTATAAGTTGGGTATTAAATTTTTCGAATTGGATTACTATAGAGTTTAGGATCATAACATATTTATCTTATAAAATTAAAGAATTGTAGTGTTGGACCATAACATATATACATCATATATTTTTGGATCACAAAAATCAATTTAATAATTTGGTTTTTGGATCATAATAATTTTTTTGATAATAACAACTATTGTTCATAAAAAGCATAGGTGTAGAATTAATAGTGTGGCATGAAATGGTTATAACTTTTACGATGCACATTAAAGAAAAATATACTTTATAGTTATTGCGGTTTAAATTCCAATAGGATTCACCGTCCTTTCTTTAAAATCGCGGTTATCGTTGTGACGTAGTGATTCTTTTTTTAAATTATGTATATCATATATCTATATAGAATTTATATATTAGAGTATTATTACTATATAAAATTAATATCATAAACAATCATATAAAACCATAACATAAAGCATATGTAATATTCTAATTTAGTAATATGTAAATTAGAAAGTGTCAAAGCGTCAAATATAGTTTAATCGAATTGTATGGGTTTTGATCCTGAGTCAACATCATCCAAGGCATGAGAAGGGAGTGGAAGTGGAACTGTGGAAGTTAGAGATGACAATGGGGACAAATATACCGGGGATCGTGTTTCCTATCCCCATACCTGAATCCCCGTCGGAGATTAAAAATCCATACTCATCCCCATCCCTAATGGGGAATAGGGATCCCTAACAGGGAATCGGGGAAATTTTCCCATTACAAGATTTTGAAAGTTTATGAAAAAAATAAGTCATAACTATATATTAACAAACAAAAATACTTATAGAAATAATATAAAACACTTCAATCACCGAATATATTCAAACATGAACAATAACATTCATGTTTACAAATTAAACTACTTGTTTGCAACAAAAAAAACATAAACATAAAAAGTCATCCAAAAATTAGTCAAACATCGCCTATCATCCAAACTATAACAATCAAGTTCACCAAATTTCAATTCCAACTTTCGCATTGAACCATCATTCATCACATATTCACCTACCAACAAAACAAAGACAAAGTATAAACAAATGTATGAAATAAAAAACTTTAAGTTAATCGATTATAATCATGAAAAAATGGTTTCATTATTACCATCAAGTTTCACTTTCCGTATCGTAATCATCAAGAATAGTTGCGTGATTATCGGAGGTAAATTGCACACCTTCATCTAACGAGAACAAGAAAAGTTAGTAAAATAAAAACAAATAGAAATAATAATAAAATAAATGATTAGCTTTGTTAACAATTTCTCATAACCAACTTTGTGAGCTTCAATTGAGTTTGGTTTAATCCGACTTCTATGTGGGCTTATTAATCTTCCACTAGTACTAAATGTTGATTCGGAGGCAACAGTAGAGACACGAATAGCCAATATATCTCGAGCTATTGCTTGCAATATTGGATATTTTTTTGCCCTTAATTTCCACCACATCAAAATATCAAAGTCTTGAGATTCGGGTTCAATCCCTTCTTCTAAATAACGATCAAACTTGGTTTTCAAAACCCCTTGAGGAACTCTATTCTTGGTCTTCAGATACTTATCCCAAGCCGAAAATTTTTCATCACCATCCATTTTATTTGTGGAAAGTCGACCGTACATAATCACCACTCCCATGTGAACTTTCCGTACTCTTTTCTTCATATTCCTTAACCAAATCATCACAAAAACTTTTGATTCTACTAAATTGAACCGTATAATCTTTCGGGTAGAGAAGTTGGAAATAAAATTCTATCATTTCCATCTTGTAACGTGGATCAAAAACAGCAACAACAAGCATCAACTCATGTATAATACCTCAATATTGATTGAACTTCTAAATCATTTGCGTTGCCATTTTTTGCACAATAATATTAAAAGAAGAATTCCATTTATATAATTTAAGTCAAATCTCACATATTTTTAGGAAAATATAAGTTGATTGTGGGGTACCTTGTTCCAGAAAAGATCGAAGTGACATTATAAAACAATTCCAATCTCCCACATATTTCTTGTGCTTTATCCCAACTAGGCAATGTTTTGTATTGAGTATCACGTTGTTTTAGACGCCCAAAAACCTCTTTATACATTAGTGCAACTTTCAACATCAAGTAAGTTGAATTACATCTTGTCGGGCAATC